CAGACTATGGCTCATGGACCAGATGTGGGAGCGTGTGAGAAATGCAGAGTCTCAGACTACCCCACCCCTGCCCTGCCCTGCCCTTCCATGCCCTGCCATGCCCTGCCCTGTCCCGCTGAATCAGGATCCACATCTCACTGAGTCCCCAGGTGGGTGTCTGAGCAGCACAGCTGTACTTTGGGTAAGACACCCTTCCCTGACACCTGTGACTCCTGCAACCCCACAGCATGTGCAAAAGCTCTACTGGCTTCAGGTCTGAGGGCATTACAAGGAGACCCAGCGTGGCGCTGGGCACGCTTTGCCACACGTTGGGAAGCACTCGGTGTCCAGTGGGCTGCTGCAGGGATCTGCAATGGGTCAGCAAATTCAGATGTTACCTTTGTCCCTCCATCACCCACAGGTCTATGGCTGTCCCCTAGATGTCTGTTAGTCTTGGAGGAAGGGGCACTCCTAGCAGCTCTTTTAATCAAGTAATGAGAACAGGAATTCCTGCAGGAAGAGGGACATCCGTTGGGTGGTGACTCCAGAGCTTTTGCACATGCCCCTCTCAGTGCTGCCTCCCCGGAGGACCTGGGTGCCCTGTGCAGGAATTCTCATACCCGGACCGACCAGCCCCCCTGGTGTCCAGAAGGTTTAGTGCTGCAAAGCGGGCTCCTCACACAGCTTTCCCTGGAGCACCAGGAAGGGATGCTCTGGGGAGACCGGGCGCGGGCTGGCTGCCTCTGCGCAGGCTGCACGCTCCCTCCTGGGGTGTGTACAGTGTGGTTTCCTTACTCCGACGTGATCTATCCATCACGGATTATCACAGCTGCCCGCTTTGAGGAAAGGGAGGTGGCCAGGAAGGTGCCCAGGACACTCAGAGCACTGGGCTTGGGGAGGTGGTGGAGGTGCACCGAGGACACAGGGGAGCTTGGGGAGCTGTGCAAGGGGAGTCGGGGCACGCTGGTGGGGTTCCCTCAGACCTCCCGGAGGCCCTTCTAGCTTCATCGTCCTCTGGCTGCTGACCGTCTTGCCTGCCCTGGGCCCTGGTCCTTTCTATCTTTCCTTCCACTCTTCCTGGAGGGCAGCCCCGCTCCTATCTAACTTATTCCCGACATAGAAAGCTCACACTCTAGTTTTATCTGGCTCCAAAATACACTTGATCTGAGGCACTGCCATCACACTCAAGGTCAAGGCATGTACCCCGTGGTCTGTGCTTCCTGTCGGGGCATTGGAGCCACGGGACCAAGGCTGCTCTTCAATGCGGTTGTGAAGAAGTGGGTAGGAGGGGAGTGAGGCTGGAACCCTGAGGCCCATCCGGAGAAGGGCAGGAGTTACAGAAAAGAGGGGCCTTGAGGAAGTAAGAAGTGTCCACCAGGACTGCCAGGCAGAATGGGAAGAGCAGAGCTGTGCCAACAGGGCTGGAAGCTGAATGGTTTGGGGGCACACGATGCTGAGTGCAAGAGAAGTGTCAGACATACAGGAACCGCGACAGGAAGTGGGAAATGGGGTTTGGGCCCATAGGGAGGTCGGAGCGGAGAGGGGTTCAGTCATTCCCGTGGGCCTGTGGCAGACCGACAAGGAAGGGAACAGGGCAAAAACTACAGGATGGGGAACAGGGGGAGGTCGCTGTGTGCCTGTTCTGTTTTGTAAGACCCAGCAGAGGTGAAGTGGTGTGGGCCGAGGGGATCCCCGCCCCGATTGTGTAAGAATAAGTCACTCTATCTGTGGACTTGAGCCTGCAGAAGAAAGGACCATTGTTGGCAATGTGCCAAGGAGGTCAGAGCGTGGATAAGGGGTCTTTGAAAGAAGCGACACTTTGTCTTTCAAAAGCAAAATGCTGTGAACGGAGCTGAAAGCCTGAAGAATTTTCCCAGAAGCAGCACACTGGAAGGTTGGCAGAACCGGCACTTGGGGTTATGCTTACCCAAGCACTGACTTTCCTCTAGTCTTGCAGGGTTTGGAGAGGCTTAACAACGGGCAGACTGATGTCCCCGATTTAGAGGGGGCCCCAAATTACTTCCCAGGCTCCTGTTGAGCCCTCAGACAGAACACCCCTGAACAACCAAAGTTAAGCTCCCAGCCTGGCTCGCAGAAGCCCTGGCAGTGGAAAGCTGGGGGTATTATTTCTACCGCACATAGCAGTGGCTTATGGGTACTTTTCTGGAGAAAGAGCATCTGGAGTCCCAGGGAGACTTTTCCTCAAAGGTGGGCTGGCCATGGTGGAGCGGGTTCCTGGGCACAGGAAGGTGGTCCCGGAACATTTGCCGAAGAGCTGTCTTCCTGATTTGCCTGATTGCTTACTGTTCTGAGACCACTATTTATTAAAAAAAAAAAAAAAAAAAAAAGACCTTGGGGATGTGGAGGACTAAGGCTACAAAAGTACCTTAAATCTTAAAGCATCTTAAATTTCCTTTTATCTCACCACATTTCCCACGCAAAGTTCAAAACACACAGTTGAGGCAAATTTTTGGCCCCCCCCCCCAGCTAGGGAAAGCAGTGCAGGCCTAGTTTGCATGC